CAATGAAAGGCTATGACAATAACAATGAAAGGCCATGACAATAACAATGAAAGGCTATGACAATAACAATGAAAGGCTATGACAATAGCAGTGAAAGGTTAAGGTCATGTGAATGACAATAGCAATGAAAGGCTATGACAATAGCAGTGAAAAGTTAAGGTCGCGTGGATGACAATAGCAATGAAAGGTTAAGGTCATGGATGACGATGACAATAACAATGAAAGGCTATGACAATAGCAGTAAAGGGTTAAGGTCATGGATGACAGTAGCAGTGAAACTGTTTGATATAAATAAATATAATGCATTCCAAACTTATTGAACAATAACATTTAAAAAAGATATTGTTAAACTGGCTACGATTGCTGATGCATTATTTGGTCTAATGGAGAACACATAAACCACAAATTGCATTAATTGTATGCAGAATCATAGACGAATAACTTATGTGTCTGTGACATATGCACATAGAGCGATTAAGAAATATGATAAGTAGTCATATAAACTCAAAACAGTGAAACTAATAAATATACAGTGTATTGTTAAAAATAAACACATAGTTTGAAAGTATACACACTGCGATAAATGTATAACTAAGAGATACTGATAATAAATAAACAAAACTCATTGTATGCACAAATAAATAAAATAGTAAAAGTATGCGTGAAGTATCCCTCAATGCAGTTGAAACCATGATCAGTTGAAGAAAACATGCAAAAGTATTCCAAACAAAAAATGTAATATGTATTATTAAGTATTTAATAATATCAGAGGTACATTACTTGGGGTTTGCAACTACGGTGACATGATACCAAGATCCCGTTACAATCTCGCTCTCGCATAAGCGTTCCAACTCAGAAAAATGCGAATGCACATGCCCGAGGTAACTAGGATACTGGGATGTCCAGGTGGATCAAAAAATCTGCCCACGATATGACGGATTACGAGAACTATATTTTCTGTACATTTTCGATGTATTACATTTTTCACTACGATAGTGGCAAGAAAAGTTTTATTTTTTCATTACAAACCTTGAACATTGATATATGTCATGTCAGAAGGTCGTAGCCTCAGTCTCGCAATCTACGAGAAGAGACTTGAATGGGATCTTGACATGATGTCACCATACAGTACTATGCGAGTTGCAAACCCCAAGTAATGTACCTCTGATATTATTAAATATTGTATGCTACATATTATTGTAAACTTTTATGTGTACTTTTTGCTGATAGAAATTTTCATGATTTGTTGACTTAATGGCATTCATGAAATCAAAATTTGGTCATTTGAATCAGATCATGATATGTCGTCTGATGTATGTGTGTAGTTCGCACTTAATTGAGCCAAGCATGTGTGACATATGACTGAATACTGTTGGACGAACACACACACATATACAGACGTATGCACAGAGGTCAATCCATGTCTTTGTTTTGAACAGCCAATTCTTTCACAGATTCACTTAGTTTCATTAGTGTTTCCAAAATGTACATTATTTTTGTGATTTCTTCATCATCTCACAATTTGTGTGTATGTTGGACACAATGCATATCAATCAAGGTATGTCATGGCTAGCATTATTTGAAATGCAAGACCCATCATGCCACAGTGAATGTGAACATATATCCCATAATATAAGATGTAAATGCAATCATTAAAAAATATATTACAGGCTAGTTTTATACCACATTTGAACAAAATACCTGAAATTTATTCCACAAATGCATGATCTTTTTTTATTTTTACTACAAAGACTACGAGTAAGCCATCTTGAATCAGAACTTGAAATGAATCCATAATTGTGATACGAGTTTGGTACAACATTCTTTAAAACAAAATGACGACAAGACGACCATTTTAAATCTGATCAATAAAACAAGATGACATGTATCAAATATTCCATGATATTTAACCGAATGCATCTAGTAAGTTTAAATAAAATCTGTCAAGGCACAACCAAGTTTAAGTTGAACATCAGCCCGTAAACCCAAAAGTGGGTCGCTTCGTTGAGCATTGGCGCTAAGTCAAGTGTTGTATGTACATGATAAGCCTGAGTTTAGATATGGTGGACATGCTTAATTTTCAGCCATTTTATAACCAAAATGACTGCCAGTCAGCCAGCTTGATATAGTTTGAATATAATCGTCCATATGATACAGATATGGCTCAAGTATTTAAAAAAAATCACTGACATCATCTTGCATCAGATCTGTAAAATTTTCCATATTGATCAATGTGTACCAAGTTATGCACTGGTCTAGTAGAGCAGCAAACTGGTTCATGTTCACTAAGTAAATGGGTGGAAAAAGAACAAAAACTTGAAAACTTGCTCGTAAAATGCACAAAAAAAAAAAAAAAAAAACTTTTCATGAACATTGAAAAGCCAGTAGAAAATTGAACTCTATTTAAACAAACCAAATTAGCGTTTTATATGTAAATTACCGTTATAAACCTTAAAATGTGTATCGACAGAACACATGTTGCTATGGAGTGTGTGTTACCCATAGTGACACATGTTGCTATTGGGTGTGTGTTACCAACAGTGACAAATGTTGCTATTGGGTGTTACCCACAGTGACACATGTTACTGTGGAGTGTGTGTGACCCATAGTGACACGTGTTTCTATGGAGTGTGTGTGACCCATATTGACACATGTTGCTATGGAGTGTGGGTGACCCATAGTGCCACATGTTGCTATGGAATGTGTGTGTGTGTGACCCATAGTGACACATGTTGCTATGGAATGTGTGTGTGTGTGTGTGTGTGTGTGTGACCCATAGTGACACATGTTGCTATGGAGTGTGTGTGACCCATAGTGACACATGTTGCTATGGAGTGTATGTGACCCATAGTGACACATGTTGCTATGGAGTGTGTGTGTGTGTGACCCATAGTGACACATGTTGCTATGGAGTGTGTGTGTGTGTGTGTG